TCCTACCGTGAGGACAGTTACCTCTCAGCTGCCCCAGCCCGGGGACCCAGTGCCTGTTGCTGGCCCCTCTGGTTTCCTCACTCTCTGAGTACTATCTCTTTTGCCTCTTTTCTGCTGCCACTGCCACTGAATTATAGTGCAGAATGCCATTTTTCCTGCAGTCACCTGCAGTCCCACAGGATTATCACCCAGCAATAAACACCAGGATCCCTCCCTTTACACAAACAACCACATGTTGACAGAACACCTCTGTAGACATTATGTCACAGAGTTTTCATAATAACTCAAGGCTGAAATGATCCCCAATGAACAAAGAGAAAAGAACTTCAGGGAAATGTAACGATTTGCCTAAGGTGACAGAGTGAGTAAGAGGGAGAGCTGGGGACTTGAATTTAGGTCCCAAGACTAAATAGTCAGTGACTGTATCTCCCTCAAGTTTACAGCATTGTCTCTAGGCAAGTTGCATAACTTTGCTAGGCCTCAGTTTCCTCATCTATAAAATGGGGGTAATAACAGACTTTAGGTCATGGGGTTTTTATGAGGATTCAATGAGCTAATCCATGAAGCGTTCAGAACAGTGCCTAGTTGTCCCAATGAATAAGGGTTAGCTTTCATTATCCTTTCTATATTAGGGACTGTGGAGATGCTGAGATTCCTAAAGTCAGAGCTAGGGAGATGGTTCAATGGACTAGAGCATATGCTCTACAGGCAGGAACACCAGGTTCGACCACCATATGGTCCCCCAGCACTGCTGGGAGGAACCTTTAAAAACCTGGAAATATTCCCTATTAGTAGTGCCAGGTGAGGCCCAAAATAACAAAGAATCAAACAAAAAAAAGATAGGTTTGGGATGGATTGCCTTACACACAGCTGATTCTGATTCTATCACCAGCACCTCACGCGGTCTCCTGAGCAATGCTAGGAAAGAGTGACTCCAAAGCACAGAGCTTGGAGTAAGCTAGGAGTAAGCCCTGAGTACCGCTGGGTATAGTTCCCAAACCCAAAACCGAACACCACATAAATACTGTCAGAAAGTACAGTGATTACAGTGGACACTTTGCATGTAGCCAACCCCAGTTTGATCCCCAGCACATGGTCCCCCGAAGTAATACCAAGTACAGCCCTAAAGTCTCTGAGCAGCACTCAGGGTGACCCAGGTTCTCAAGCCCTTGCACTGAACCACTAACTCAGCTGACTAAGAATCATCATGGGGCCTTCTGAACACACTTGGGCACATCCCCAACCCCCGCTGCTGCCCAAACTATACTCACTTAAAAAATAAATACAAAAAAGGAGTCCAAGAAGGTGGCTCAAGGGCTAGAAAACATGCTATGCGTGTAGGAGCTCCGGGTTCAAGCTCCTGCACTGCCCATGCACTACCGAGGTTCTCCAGCCCCGCCTCCCCAGCACTGACCTAGGAGTAGCCCCCAACACTGCTAGGTGTGACCCAAAACACCAAAATAAATAAACTCTTAAGGAAAAAAAGAAAGAAGGATGACTCAAGGGGCTGGAACACATGCTTTGCACATGGGAGGCATGGGTCAAGCCACAGTATTCCATGGTTCCCCAAGCACCACTAGGGAATGACCCCAGAATACAGAGACAGAAAAACACAAATGAAAAAAGAAACCCAGGAAATCTTGTAGTCTGGGCTGGAGAGATAGTACCTGAGTTAAGGCATTTGTTTTGCATGCACCTGAGGTCTCAAAGCACACACCCCCTAAAAAAAACAACAACAACAACAACAAAAAAGAGAAAATGTTGTGCTCTGTGTTTTTCTAATTCTTAGACTCTTAATTCTTAAAAGGCTTGCACATTTCCAGTAGCACGAGGTAAAGACACAAGTGGAGAATATATTGTGTCCAGTGCAAACATGGGTGCCTGGCCCAAACTCTTGATCCAGAATAAAGTTAACAGGACCTGCTCCAAAAGGCCAGTAACAGTTGGATGAGCCAGTGGGGGTTCAAGTCTTAGCACTGCCATTTATCCATGGGGACAGTATCCTCTCCAGCACCTGGCAGGGAACAGATAGACAAGGTACATGTAGGTCTTTTTTCTACATGTTCTATATGAATAAAGGTTAGCTTTCATTCTCCTTACTATATTAGGGACTGAGGAGATGTTGAGACTCCTGAAGTCTGAGTTAGGGAGATGGTTCGATGGACTAGAGTACATGCTCTGCAGGCAGGAGCACCAGGTCTTTATTTTTCTCCCGACAGGAACCGCCTATTTGGAATTCCATCGGCAGCTCAGGCTCAGCCTCTCTTCTCCCCCTCTTTTTTTTTTTATTTACTGAATCACCATGAGAACAGTTACAAAGCTTCAGGTTTAAAACTCGGTCATACAATGATCAAGCACCCATCCCTTCACCAGTGCATATATTCCACCACCAAGAATCCCAATATACCCCCCACCCCAACCCTCCCCATCTGTGAGGCATATGATTTCCACTGAACTCTCTCTGTACTTTGATTACATTATTTCGACAAAAGATGCACCATTATTATTTGGAATTTTCCCCTAACAATCAGACCTGCTGAAAAGGCATCATGAAATAATTTGTTTTATATTGCTGGTTATGAAGAGCATAAAGATGTCGCATGGCCTCGATAGCGGCCACATGATTTTGGATTTCTGATATTTTACTAATTAAGTCATTGATGTCAAGAGAGGGGTTCGGCAGGGTGATACCATTTCACCGAAACTCTTCAGTGCCACCCTCGAGAACATCATGCGACGACTGGAATGGGAAGGAATGGGAGTGAAGATAGATGGTCGGCAATTACACCACCTCCGCTTTGCTGATGACATTGTTTTAATAACACCAAATATCAGTCAAGCGGCACAAATGCTGGCCAACTTTGACCGTGAGTGTGGAAAGATAGGACTACAGCTGAATCTTACAAAGACAATGTTTATGAGAAACAGCCTCGTTCCTGATGCCCCATTTGCTCTCAATGGAACGACCATCTCCGAATGCAACAGCTATGTGTACCTAGGTCCAGTGGTCAACATGACAAATGACCTGGCACCCGAGCTGCGCAGGAGGAAGAGAGCGGCTTGGAACGCCTTCAAGAACGTCGAAGAAATAGCTAAGAGGACGAAGAACCTCCAGCTCCAGGCACATCTCTTTGATTCCACTGTTCTTCCTGCATTAACATATGCCTCAGAGACCTGGGCCCTACGCAAATAGGATGAGAACGCTATTCAGGTCGCCCAAAGAAGAATAGAAAGAGCTATGCTTGGAATATCACGTTTCACTCAAATGAGAGAAAGAATCCGGAGTTCCGACATCCGTCGACGATCAAGAATCAGGGACGCTGTCTCATTTGCCAAGGTGTCAAAAATCAGATGGGCTGGTCACGTAATGAGATTTAAAGACGACCGCTGGACTAGAGCTGTTACTGACTGGATTCCACGGGATGTCAAAAGACCACGTGGCTGCCCACCTACCAGGTGGTCAGACGTCTTCGTGAAGATCATGAACGATCGGTTTGAGGCTCTTCATGATCCCAGAGCGAATAGATGCCACTGGGCTACACTAGCACGCGACAGGGACAAATGGAGACGTTACTGGCGCCCGCTCGAGCAAATCGACGAACGGGAAGTTAAGTGATTAAGTGACTAATTAAGTCTGGAGGAATTTCTGCCAAAAGCCACATAGTTCCAAGATTGGCTTGTGTGCCTCTGGGGACATGGCCGTGCAGGAGAGCCGCTCATGGGGGGCGGGGGGGAGGGAGTGCTATTTGTGGTCTCAGAGGGGTGGGAAGACATGCCAGTTCTGCCCCCCATCTCATGAGGCAGCAGTTGCCCCATCACCACTGGCTCATACCTAGCTGTCCAACAGGCTCTGAGGCAGCGGCCACTGTGCTGCCCAGGGGAAAATAGGCGGAAGGGACAGGTACCCTTTCCAAACTCTGGGGGGTCACGGCGCTGTAGCTTATTGCATAATCCATTCCCATTTCTGCCAAAAGCTGCTGGGTTCCGAATTAAGTCCGTGAGCCTCTGGGGCCATGGCCGTGCCAGAGAGTCAATCGTGGGGGGGGGGGGGGGGGGGGGCAACTCGTGATCTCAGCTGTTCTTCCCCTCTTACAGGGCCTTGCCCAGCCCCTACAGCAAACCGGGGCCCGCGGTGGAGGCAAGTACCAAAAAGCCCACTGAGAGAACCCAGCCAGCATTCCATGGCTGGTAGCTTTGACTAAACCCCATTTCTGCTCCCTGAGCTTCCCATTCCCAATCTTGAAAACAGGGCTGCCTTGGGCAGGAGCGAGTACAGCGGGTAGGGTGCTTGCCTTACCCACAGCCTACCACTTCCACCCCAGCATCACAGTATGCTCCCCCATCACTCCCAGGAGACACCCCAGAGCACCTCAAGGTGTGATTCTCCCCACCACTAGACAAAAGCAATAAAATAGAATCCCTAACCCATATAAATCAGGCCCGGAATGCAAATTAGAGCCAGAGAGCTAATATAGTGGGTAAGGAACTTGCCATGTACACTGCCAACCCGAGTTCAAGTCCCAGCGGCCAGGAGTGAGTCCTGAGCACCACCAGGTGTGGCCCCGAAACAAAGAAGACCCCAACTAGAAACCTAAGGACTCGCCTTGCACACACAGAACCCTGGTTCCATCCCCTGCAGGGCACACGGGGCAGGGATCACCCCTGAAAACAGACCCAGGAACAGCCCCCAGGCAGTCGCCTTTAACCCCCAACCCCCAAATAAAAGGAACGTCACCCGGCTTCAGTGACCAAGGCCACCCATGACCCCTCACTGGCGGGCAGGCAACGGGGCAGGGCGGGATTCACTCTGCTCCGGCTGAGGGAAACTGCGGCCAGTTTCTGGCTGAGCCCCTTCTCGCCCAGCCCCTACGGCAAACCGGGGCCTCGCACACGCCCATTTTCCAGGTAGGGGCACTGAGGCTCAGAAGAAAAGGCAAGCGCCTCACACCATGCCACCACGGCGCGGGGGCTCGGGACCCCGGCTTTCGGGGCGCGGTCACCTGGAGCACCACGGAGATGGTCTTCTCGCCCGCCCGGGCGGCACGCCACTTCCGGTAGGCATCGGCCTTGAGCAGGTTTTCTGCACAGTGGGTCTGTGGAGACAGACGGGAGAGAAGTCAGACACACAGCGCGGTGCGGGGGTCCCCGACTCGACCCGGCCTCTGGAGTGCCCCCAGATCCCACGTTTCCTGCATTCTCGGCCCCCCTCTGTCTGGTGTCCCCCACACTCTCCCCGCCGAGTTCGCCTGCGGGCCGGGCGAGCGCCCCGGCACCTCCTTTCGCTCCCGGAAGTTCCCGCGACTCCCGGAAGTTCCCCGATGCCACCTCGCTTCCCGAATTCACTTCACAGCCTCCTGGAAATTCCCCCAGCGCCCACCGCAGACTTCCAGGAAGTTCGCGCCTACATTCTAAAACTTCTTCCAGAGCCCCTCAGGGAGGCCCCGGCGACGTTCCCGTCCCCTCGTCCCGCACCCGCGCCAAGTGGCTCACCGAGTCCTGGCTACTGCAAGACACGACATGGCGGAGGCGGATCTCCGGCATGTCAAGTCGTCGAGGGCTGAACGCTTAGTCGGAAGGATGAAGGAGAGTCGGAGTTTGGGGGGGTCCGGGGGGCGGGGAAGGCTGGTTGGGGGGCTGCTCCCCGCGCTGCCGCAAGTGCGCAAGCGCGCGAGGCTCGGGCCTTTCAAACCGCGGCGCGCGAGCGCGAGCGTCAAGACCACGCAAGCGCAGTCGCGCCGCCCCGGGAAGCGGTGCGTTTCCTTAGCAACAGGTTCCGCCTCCCTATGTCCCCGCCCCCTCCGGCCCCGCCTCCAGCGGCACGCCCCCGGGGCTCTCCCCAACCTAAACGACTCCAGCGGCCTCCGTGATTGGGGCTTCGAAGACATTCGCCCTTCTCATTGGACAAGTGCAGTCACCGCCTCAACCCAAGTCCAGAACCTGAATAGATTTTCGCAGCTTGGAACTGCCAGCGACAACACTTCCCCGCTATCCCTGCACTCACCTGACCCTCAAAACAGGAAAAAGAAAGCTCTGATCTCAGGGTTATACCTAAAGCCAAGGACCTAAATAAAACACAAAGCATGCGCCCAAACCAGACACACTCCCAGCTTAGTGCTTCCACCCATGCCTCAGTTTCCCAAGGTGACCTGTGGGCATTTGTCTCCTACCACACCTGTTCCCGACTGGTGACAGGCACCCCTCTGTTCGGTCCCTGTAAATCCCAGGGGTGCAGCCCCAGGCAAAGCCGGAGCTGGAGCCAGCCCGCACACAGAACAGGGAGCAATCAGAGCCAAGGAGGAAGTAAGGGGAAGGGACATAGGGCACCCAGGCCCCCGCAGAACGAGCCTGGACATGCTGGGCGCTCCCAGGTAAGGCACCACCCACGCTGGGCGCCTCCTTGGGACGAGGGAAGAGAATGGAGCACTTAGCCCTTAGAGCCACTCACACCTCCAGGAACTCGAATGACCTGACTCCTACCCTGGGCTTCAGGCCAAAAGAAAAGGGGGAGGGGGGCATGGGAATTCGAGGAAATGGGAGAATGGTACTCTGGGTCCTGCTAGAAGATACTGGAAGGCAGAAGCCTGGGGTCCCCGTGAAAGAGGCCCCAGGTTCCTTTGAGATTTTGGTCCCGCCTCCCCACCCCCGAGCTTCAGGGGCTGGACCTGAGATCTTACCTCAGCTATTTCTCACCCCAGGGTGAAGGTGGATCCGGACCCGCCCCTGCCTGGACTCCTATAAGGGCCAGCCCCGGGACTGCAGGCTCACACACATCATGAGGACCTCAGAGACACCTGGCTCCTTCCTGCTGGCCTTCGTGCTCCTCTGCACCCTGCTGGGTCTGGGTGAGTGACCCCGCCCCCATGCTGGCACCCTTAGCAAAAAGAACTGAGAGGAACCCCTCAGCAAGGGCTTTATGGAGAAAAGAATGGAACAATCTTGGGAGTCAGGAAGAGAGAACGGGCCACAGCGATAGAACAGCAGATAAGGTGCTTGCCACGCTCGACCCAGGTTTGATTCCTGGCATGGCATATGAGCCCCTGAGCACCACCAGGAATAATCCCTGAGTGTAGAGCCAGGTGTCACCCCTGAGCATCGTCTGGTGTGGCCGCAAAACAAAAACCAAGAAAAATAAAAGAGAAGCCTGGGTCTGGGAGGAAGGAAAGGGAGGAAACGCTCCAGCGCTCATGCATGGGGTCCCTGTGCAAGGAGGGAGGGGGGTTGGGGTTCTGAACACTCCGTTCTCCAGCTCTGGCTTCAACAGAGACAACTGATTCTAGGTCAGATGAGCACATGACTAGAGAAAGCGACATCTTTATATAGAGAGAAAAACGGGGGAGATACAAGAATGCTGGAGACTTAAGGAGTCCCCTAACCCCCTTCACCGTTGGGGATCTCCACGCTCTCTTCCTCATAAGGGCTGCAGATTCCATCCTCACGTATCCCAACCTGGTCTACGCATGCCCCTCCCCCCGCAAGACAGAGGGTCTTATGTCTCAGACCCCGCTGGACCGGAGGCTCGGCCAAAGTCCATCGCCACCTCCCCAGCCTGCTCAGAGGCCCCTCGCGTCCGAAGTCCCCCAATTAGTAATTAGCGAAACAGGCTCCACCGTGCGTCATCGCCCGCTTTGCGGGCATCGGGCATCGTTACCGGGTGCCAACAGACTCCCAATAGATCCCACCACCACGCTCCGCAGCCCTCCTCCCTCTGCCCGCCCCCACTCCCAGACCTGCAACCCCACCCTTTCCTCGGCAGGATGCCCCCTGAGCTGTGAGATGTGCCGGGGCTCGGGACCCACGTGCAGCGGAAAAGTGAAGACGTGTGAAGAGGGCAAGGACGCCTGCGTGACCGTCGTGGGAGAGTCGAGCACGAGTAGGGGGCGTGGCGTGGGGGCGGGGCGCTGCTGCGGGGAGGTCCAGGAGACACATCCCCCTAACACGAGGGAGGCGTGTTTCGAGGCTTCAGCACTGACTGACGGGTCCAAGGGTTCAGAAATAGACTCATTCTGGAAGAAAAATAGTGGTGGTGGGGTTGGGGGTGGGAGTGGGGGAAGAGACTTTCCCCAGGCAGTAGGGGGTAAGGAAAGGACATGGGGCCCCGGGGGAAGGGGGGACTGGGAAATAGCACAGGCACGAGGTGGCAGGCGGGGTATTGGGAGGAAAAGACTGGGAGGGATGCAGAACTTTGGAGGGGAGGAACTGTGGTAGAGGCCCCCAACTCCCCCCCCACGCCGCAATGAGAGTGCGACTGGAAGAGGGAGCTAAGGCTAATGGAAAGGAAAGCTGCCCCCCCCCCCCGAAGTGGAGATATATGGGGGGTATGGCTAGGGTGATAGGAAATTTTCCAGACTTGAGAAAGAATCGCCCCACAGGAAGAGTCCTCAGACCATCACAGCTCTAGAGGCTGTGATGGAACCAAGGGGTAGGGAGGAATCTGGGGTTGGAGAAAGCCCCCCTCCCTCAAGGAGCTGTGAAGTGGGGGACCTTAGGAGTAGGTTGATGGAGGAGACTCTGAGGTGGGATGGGGGAGGCTATGGACCTGGAAACCCAGCAGGTGACATGCCAACAGCGAGTGGTCTGGGGCAGTATAGGAGGGAATGCTAGAGACAGGTCTGTGGAGTTGGGGGGAGGGGTGAGGAAGGCGTGCTGCTCTGTGGGAATGGACTCCAAGGTGGGGATGAGCATTCCGAGGATAAGCAAACCTCAGCAGGGCCCGAAGGACACACAGGCCCCTGAGGCCAGACTCCTAGAGGTCAGCAATGGATTGATCTGGGGTGGGGTAGGGTGGCAGACCCCACTTCTGCTTTGGGGAAATGCTGAACTTCCCCAAGGCTGAACGGGGCCTGAGGCAGCTGGGATGAATGAATGGGAGAGTGACGGACGGACGTGTAGGAGGCTGGGAGAGATCACTGTAGGCAGCTCCGGCTGGCGAGGGCCAGAGTGACACCAACCATACAGCCTGCGCCCTGTTGTGTCGCGTCCCGCCTCTGTCCCCCCGCAGAGGGCCATCATTCCGTGAACACCTACAAGGGCTGCATGAAGTACAGCGACTGCTACTCGGGCTTCGTCTCCACCACCATGGGCCCCAAGGACTACATGGTCTCCAACACGCAGTGCTGCCAGGCCGATGGCTGCAACCAGGGATCCGTGCCCCGTGAGTACCAGCTTAGCCCCGGAACCCCGCTGGCAGTTCCAGGATGGAGAGTGTGGGGGCTGCTGCTCCTGCAGTACCGGGTATCACCCAGGCCACCCTGGTGGAGCTCACACCCAGTGATGCTTAGGGGATCATGAAGTGCTGGGGCTGGAACTGGCTTGGGCCCAGGCTGGACTGTCCTATCTCCGGACCCTTGGATCCCAGTGTCTTATTCATGCTGAGCCTGGGCCCCCCCCCCCAACCTGTCACACACCAGTGTGGTGGGGTGCTGAGGTCAGAGGAAAGAGTCAAAATTGTTCTCTGCCCCTTCCACACCGCCCTCACCCCCCAGCTCCCCAGAATAATCGGACTAAGAATGGCCTCCAGTGTCCTGCTTGCATCCAGCCCTTCCATGAGACTTGCCCGGGGACCCAGGCGGCCAGCTGCGTGGGCCAGGAAAATCACTGTGTTTACTTCGCAGGCAATGTGCAGGCTGGTGAGAGCTACCGAGGGTTCTGGAGGTGGGGATGGTAGGGGCCTGAGAGTTTCTAATGTCTAAGGGGAAGGGGAGCCCCAGATAATGGGGTAAGGGACCAAGACCCTTGAGTGCTGAAGAAGGAGCGGTGGGGAACTTCAATCCAAGTCTGAAACCCCCCCTCCCAGGTATCATCAGAACCAAATTTGCCACACGGGGCTGTGCCACGGAGAGCGCCTGCAACTCCAAGCCTGGGGCACAGGTGCCCTCTGCCTCCTACCTCTACTTCCTGCGCCGTGCAGACTGCATGAAAGCTACCCCAGTCCCCCAGGAGGGCTGAGTGAAGAACTGGCATCATAGCTGGAGGTCTTCGTGTCCTCAGCCTGAGGCTCCCCAAGTGCCTGCCAATTAAATGGGTTGACAGAGCAAGTCTGCGTCCTTCGTTTTTTATGAAGGGGTGACTGGCAGCCCAGACCCCTGGGCTAAATGCTGCTGCATTCCTAATCAAACCTCTGAAGCTGAGTCCTCATCCCCATTTACAGATGAGCACACAGAGGTATAGAATGTGACATTAGCCACTTTAGTAAAATAATAGAGCGGGTCATTTCACCCAGAGGCCATCATCACCCTGATTAACTTCTCCTGCGGGACCTTTGTTTACCCATCTACAAAATGGGCCTAATAGAGCTATAATTTTAGAAAACTATAAGAGTCAGGTTGGGGCTAGAGCTATAGTACAGCTGGTAAGGCATTTGCCTTACACACAGCCGACCCGAGTTTGATCCCTGGCATCCGATATGGTCTCCCGAGCACTGCCAAGAGTAATTCTTGAGTGCAGAGCTAAAAGTAACCCCTGAGTATCACCAGGTGTGGCCCATTGAAAAGCAAAAAAATTTTCAAAAGACTCAGGGCCGGGGCTGGAGCGATAGTACAGCGGGTAGGGCATTTGTCTTGCATGCGGCCAACCTGGGTTTGATTCCCAGCATCCCATATGGTCCCCTGAGCACTGCCAGGAGTGATTCCTGAGTGCAGAGGCAGGAGTAACCCCTGAGCACCGCTGGATG